CGAGCGACGCAAATAAGCCGTATTAAGGTATTAAAAAGTCGCAATAATTCACAAAAAATAAAACTAAAGATGACAAGTTCGACGCAAGGTGTCAGTTAAAATCGATAAACATATTTGTGCTCGAGGAAGAAGTAACAATCCCAGGTATGTAAATTAACAGTGTCAATTATTGCAGAGTTATTATATGGTGGCGATTTTGTTGGTGGCGAGATTTTTTACTGTTGAGGTGACCGTAAACCATTGCCGCAACATCTGGCTCTCCAGGTTTGGGGGGTTGGTGATGGAATGATGTCCCATGGCCGTAAATAAAAATCCTATTACTAAAACCAGACACACTTTTTAAGCTGGTATGCCTGAAGGCAGGCAAGTGTGAAGGCCAACAGAGTAACTAAGTGCAAAGAGGCATGCTGTATGTAACATACTGAATTTTGTCACTGACACTATAAAACAATACAATCACGGATGACAACAGTCCAGATTTCTTGATCCATTATGAAGTGAAACTCTGTGTACTGTAACCAAACGGCAATAGGTAAGGTTGAATGGGTCAAACTCTTTGTTCTCGTTTGTAAGATGACTGACATAATAACAGTTTTGATTTCCAGATAACGGCTTTTTCGCAGGATATTTACTGTGTGCTTTATCAGCAAAAAACTGTTACTCACTAAGATGGGTGGTAGACTCCATATGTCCAGCTTTTTCACCGCTAGTCTGTGCTTCTTGCATCTGTTGCAGTACCTTAGAAAGAAGAATGTGAATGAAATAAATATCAACCTTTTACTACATACATTTTACCTGCCACATTTAACTCATCCGCCCTAATGAGGCCAACATAAAAATCTGATTAATTTCCCACGTTTCAGTTTTATAATAATTATGCTGAAAACAAAATACTATGTGAAAGTACTATTGTTTCATTTGAATGGTAACACCATAGGATTTGATCCACAGACTCAAAAGTTAGAACTACATGGTACATAGTACCATGTGAATGTACTTTTAGAGAGGTTAAAATTAAATGGTAACACCATAGGATTTCATCCACAGACTCACAATTAAGAACTATATCACAAATTCCCATGATAATATTGAAGTAAGGAATGAAAGGCTGAGCTCTAGTATAATTTGTTCATTTTAATTGATTGGGTGAAGACCTCAATAAATTTGTATGTAAATGGTGTGTTTGCCCCTCACGTTTGATCCCACCCCAAGTTCTTCAAAGGACCAATTCAGCAGAGAAAAAAGGATGAACAAGAAATATGGTGCAGGCACGCCACCACTTAGGTCTTACAGAGAGAGAGAAAAGGTTCACAAAGGAGTTAAAACCATACCATAACTCATCTTCTCCAAGCTCTTCTTCTTTAGTAAATGCTCTAAAACATTCATACAAGTCAATAGGTTCTGTTTGCATCTTTCTGCTCCTCTCCACACTCTCGTGTTCAGTGAAGACTTTCTCTTGTGAGCTCTGGTATCTGAGGTGTAGTGTTGTAGGGTCCCATTCAATAGCTATGTATGAACTACTGGAGCCAAACTCCTGTTCACTNCTAGTATAATTTGTTCATTTTAATTGATTGGGTGAAGACCTCAATAAATTTGTATGTAAATGGTGTGTTTGCCCCTCACGTTTGATCCCACCCCAAGTTCTTCAAAGGACCAATTCAGCAGAGAAAAAAGGATGAACAAGAAATATGGTGCAGGCACGCCACCACTTAGGTCTTACAGAGAGAGAGAAAAGGTTCACAAAGGAGTTAAAACCATACCATAACTCATCTTCTCCAAGCTCTTCTTCTTTAGTAAATGCTCTAAAACATTCATACAAGTCAATAGGTTCTGTTTGCATCTTTCTGCTCCTCTCCACACTCTCGTGTTCAGTGAAGACTTTCTCTTGTGAGCTCTGGTATCTGAGGTGTAGTGTTGTAGGGTCCCATTCAATAGCTATGTATGAACTACTGGAGCCAAACTCCTGTTCACTGCATTTTATAACACATCCGTGGCAGAATCTGATTAGGAAACACGGTCATTTTTGTTAGTTACGGGTACTTAGGCTGAATCAACACATTCGTATTAGCCCGCAAGCTAATACTTATGATACTTAACGTACATAAACTGGATTTTCTAGTACCGTAGTTTATGGTTTTTGTGTACTACAAATTTTTCCGTGGCTCTTGTGGTGAATAAAAGGGAGATGCAAGTTCCATTCTGTTACGATTTGCCTTGTTTGTAAATAAAGTTCTGACACTACTTTATATGCGAACACTGCGCTGCAATTGGTTCTGGAGACAATGTGCAATATAAATAAATGTAAATCCTCTAAACATCAAGAAATGTTTTTCTCCCACCCCATTATTACGGATTCTCACTATTACAGACACTAAACCAAAGACCCGAGGGTGTCCGCAATAACGGTAGTTGACTGTACAACTTAATCAAAACCTTTCTCTATTTTGATGCCTGAAAATAGTCTGAAATTGATGTCTAAAAATCATCGTATCCAGTGTACTGTAGTGCTGGGAACATTCAAATGCTGTCAACTGAAAATTTTTTTACCTTCAAAAAGGAAAGGTTTGTTACAACATACAGTTGATAATGAAGTGTCCTCATTAGTGAGATTCCTAACGTTCTATGAGAATCTGTTCATTGGGCAAGAAACAAGTGTCCGTTTCTGCATTAACGGGTGTCCATATTAAGCGGGTTAAATTTAGAGAAAATGTATGGACTTGCCCCAGGGACAAAGAAAACTGTCCGTAATAAAGAGGTGTCCGTATTAAGTGGGTGTCCGACTGTACAATTAAGTTCAGTTATATGGATGAAACTACATAGCAATGAAGGATCTGAGATATATATTACCTGTACCAAGGGCACCAAGCACACGTGAGACCATCCTTCTGAACTGCCCGCAGCTCAAAAGGAAAATCACCAGCATCCCTACAAAAAAATTGTCAGAGCAAGAGCTCAGTTAACTCCGAAAAGAAATAAGAAGAAAAGGAAACTAACGAATAATCCATGCAGCTGGTAAATATAACCAGGTTACTCCTGGTATCTTGAAAAAAACAAGGCTGCTTTCCCCCCATCTTTTAACCTTTCTTTATAATTTTCTTCCTTAGCTGGCATTTACAAGGATGTAGTTTTCAAAAAAACTCAGAATAAGGAAAAAATGTTTTCAAGAAGTTCCAATCAATGGGAAGTCGGGTTGGAATTTTTGATTTGACAGTAAACTTTTAATGTTTATCTCTGCTTGTATCTCTAATATATTATTATTTTGATGGAATCACTGCAATTGGGTAATGCTTGAAAAAATTTTATTGTTGCATAACAAGACAAAAATGGCTGTGGGGGAGACTATGCATAAATATGTTGTGCATCAAAGCTACCACAAAATTCCAAAAGTAAGTGCTGGGGCTTATATTATTTTTTCAAAGGCCCCTTTTGACGTGCATATTTTTGGAGGGGGTTATGTATGGAGGGAATTTGGGCTACCTTATAGTTGGAAGGAAATTTATGTCAGCAATTTTGCACGAAGTTTTCTTTGAAACTCGCTCTGAGGATGCAGATCTTCTTAAAACTCTGCCATGCAAACTTTAAAAACTAGGGTGCAAGGTGGCAGAATAAATCTTTCCTGCAAGTAATTTGTCTATGGACCAAAGAAATCCAAGCCAAGAGTGAAGAGTGAACTACACCATTTTTGATAGCATTCATTTGGCACACATTTCCTTGGTGAAGGAAAAAGAAATTGTGAAAGTGAATTAATCAGCATGTCATGAACATGGGACAAAGAGAAAATCTGAGTCCCTGACAGGATTCGAACCTTATAACCTCCTAAAGAGTAGGCGAGCGCTCTATCCACTTGAGCTACAGAGAACTCATGGAGAGAGAGGCCATATACTAGGTTCATATTTGACACGCTTCCTGTATAATGCAAGGATCTTCAATGTCCATGTCAAACTGTGAGGTGAATGAATGAAAGATGGTAAATTTTAAGCTCAGTGAAACAATGCGGAAAAAGAAATTGTCAATCCTTTAACTGCTCACTAGTGCTTTCCTCACTTACCCATCTTTACAGTTTGTTTCCCCTGGAGCAGGTGGGCTTAGCAGCCTGGCCACTTGAGTCCAGACTCCTTGATACAGCTCACATTGCTTTGTTTGAGATGTGCAAGGCACAATGACAGGAACTCCAAACAGACCAGGTCGATTCTTTTGTGGTGATAGGAAATACGCATCAAAGCGATGCTGGATACATGGAAAAGAGAGAGTAATTTACAGTGTAAGAATTTTCCAACAGGAAGACAAACTTGCTGTACAGAAGATAACTTCCTATAAAATGTAGAGTTGCTATAAAGAAAGCCTACTTAATTGCCACCACCGCCCCTATTTTGTAATTCACTACGTCCTATGAACAAATATAGTACTGCTCATCAATATGATATTTGAGACTTTGAGTTATAAACAATAGAATTTTGTGATCTCCAAAGAACAGGCCAACGCCAGTGTTCTCACTTTGATACGCCACTGCCAAATTTCCCATGATGAACCTTATTACCCCCAAAAGTTTTGCATAAGCATTGGTTTTAATTCCTCTTGGGACGGCTGTAATACCCAGGAGGTTATGCAAAATTTGGGGGGGTGGGGGCGCAAATAAGGTGCATTATCCAAAATGTGGAAGTGGTTTATGAATGAGAAAAAAAACTGTGCCCATTCCCTGAACTCTACACAATCTTAATGGACCTTGCATTTTCTTTCTTGTTTTCTTCAGCCTATTTTGCAGGCCAGGAATGTTTTTATCTTAATTTTCCATCTGCTAAAGCTTACATTTACTTTTATTGAGGAGTTTAGATTTTTGTACATGATCCAGAGTATCAGTCTGAAAGCCAGTGAACCAGTGACCTAGACAATTTTCAGGAAACCTTGTGGCAACCAAAAAAAAAGATTCCTAACCTACTTAATGATTTTGCCAAGAATTAAAATTTGCCTGACCATTGCAAAATTTCCTGTCTCTTCCATGACCTTCAAAAAATTATCATTTTTCCCTGAATTGACCCTGAGCATGGAAACCACTAATGAAAAAAAATGACTCACTGTTTTCCGGTGCATTGCCACCACAAATCCACTGAAACAATATCCCAAATATGGAGAAGGTCCAGACGAAGGCGTAGAAGTAATACTTGAATTCCTGGAAGCATTATCTGTGTTTCCAGCAACAGAGAGTTTTTGGCGATTAGGAGAATTCTCCACACTTAAACTGATCCCAGAATCAGAATTTGAATTATAAGTTCC